TTTTATTTTTAGAGATAAAATCTCACTTTATTGCCCTCAGTAGAGTTCTGTGGTATCCTACCACACAGCAACCTCCAACTCCTGGACTTAGGTGATTCTTGCCTTGGCCTGCCAAGTAGCTGGAACTACAGACACCCGCCACAACACCCAGACAGGCATTGCAGTTTGTTGCAGTTTGGCTGGGGCTGAGTTCGAACCCTCCACCCTCAGTATATGGGGCCAGTGCCTTACCCACTGAGCCTCAGGCGTGCCGCCCTACCTGGAGAGTTTCAATATGCCCCTCAAACCAATCAAACAGAATGAACAAAGACAAACAGCTTTTAACAACACCATCGTAACTGTGAAGGAACGGATGTACAGATGTTACACCCAATAACTAGAGGATAAGTGTTTTTTGGGGGAGCACATAACATTCACAAAGCCAGCTATGTACCTGCCACAAAAAGAAGGTGGTTCCAAAAAAATCAACTTAGTACAGATTATGTTCTCTTACATCAATGCATAAAATTAATGATAACAAAAGGATGGGATGGCTAAAGAAAATTCTCACATGACCCCCATGGGCTAGAGCTTGGCTCCCCCATCCCACATCTGAATACATCCAGGCCCTTCCTCCCATTTCCTGAATCCTCTCTTGCCTTATCCTTGCTCAAAATTGGGCCCGCGCAGAATTGCACATGGCAACTGGATTTCCTTCAGCTCTGCTGGAAATAAAATAAATCCAGCACAAGAGAATCAGGATAGGTACCCAGGAAAACTTCCTTACAGAATGCTGGGGTAGCACCCACCACTCAGGGAGCTCAGAGCGGTGGTCTCCTGTGTGCAGGGCACGGGTGTCTACAGCAGAGAGGCTGGGGCTGGACGGGAAGGGCCTCTGATTTGCCAGGGGTCCAGATGACAGGGCCCCATGGGCACAGAGGAGGCCTGGACATCCAGTTGTCCCTGATCTAGCCCCAAGCCCAGTTACTAGAGGGACAGCAGCTGCAAGGAAGCCATGAGGGAGGCCGTCAAAAGACCTTTAGGAAGGGTTGCTAAGGGACTCTACAATGTAAGGTAGTATTCTGGCTATAGCATACAAGGTTCACTCTCTGTCTGAGCCACAGGGTCAGCTCTGTGGGTTACATACACCTGAAGATGCAGCAGGTTCCACCAGGCCATGCCCACAGCCTGTGCCACTCTGGAGATCGAGTCACCCTTCACACTCTCCTTTGCAAGGGAGGGCATGCCTGCAGCAGGGTCGTGCTCAGGTGTGCGGCCTCTGCCTAGCTTCTGTGTATGTATGTTGGGGGACAGGTGAGGTTCAAGCCTATCTGATTGGCTCGGCGCCTAAGGCTCAAGTGGCTAAGGCGCCAGCCACATACACCTAAGGTGGCAGATTCGAATCCAGCCTGGGCCCGCCAAACAACAATGATGGCTGCAACCAAAAAATAGCCAGGCGTTGTGGCAGGTGCCTGTAGTCCCAGCTACTTGGGAGGCAGAGGCAGGAGACTCGCTTGAGCCCAGGAGTTGGAAGTTGCTGTGAGCTGTGAGGCCACGGCACTCTACCCAGGGTGACAGCTTGAGGCTCTGTCTCAAAAAAAAAAAAAAAAAGCCTATCTGATTTAGGCTCTTGCCCCCATGAAGGAGTGCCTCCCTACTCTCCCGAGGGGATAGTTCATAAGATGGCAGAGGAACCGCAGGGCCAGTCCCACCAAGTTCATACTTCAGCCCAGTGCTGTCAAATGGGACTTCCTGGGATGGTGGAGATGTTCTATATCTGTCCTCCAATACCATGGCTGTCAGTACTCGCACTCTCAAGGCCAATCACGAACAACATGTACTCCAGACGTTTGGGAGAGTGGTGTTCAGGATTGTGTTTTGGGAGGATTATGGCCCAAACCCCGTAGCCACACATGACTGTCAGGCACTTGAAATATTGCTGGTGTGACAAATGACTAAGTTTTAAATTTTACTTTTAGTTAATTTAAATAACCACATCTGACTAGTGGCTACTACATCAGACAGTATAGCCTCGGCTCCTTCCCAAGCCAGCCACTTCCGCCTTCCCACTCAGCACTGGAAGGGAAGACCCTGCCAAGGCCAGGTGACAGAGGCCAGGTGAGGCCCAGGGACTTGGGAGGGGGCAAGTAGTTGGGAGTCATCTCCAGACATCTGCTCCCTGAAGCAGGGACCCCACCCCACTGGTCCTCACAATGGCAGCAGCCCAGCAGAGTCACAATACCACAGGCAGGAGGCCCAGCAGCAGCCTTGCAGCCCAGCAGTGGCCAGCAATTTCCTCCAGGGGCAGGTCTCTTTGTCTGCAGACCTACTTACACCAGCCACAGCGTCACAAGACCCTGTTTCCTGGGGGATGAAAAAGCGCCCAGCCTCTCAGTGGCCTCGAGCTGGAAACTTACAGGAGGCGGCAGGACAGGTGTGGGGCTGGGAGAACCTGCTCAGCCCCAGGTACCACAGGGCCCGGCAGCTCCTCTGCCGGCCGGCAGAGGGCGCTGTGACCACTGAGCAGCTCCTCCTCCTCTGCCTGGCCATCTGGTTCTTCTATTTCTTCTGCCTTCAGAACTGACTCTGACCCGACTGCCCTCTGCCAGCTCCGGGCTGAGGGTGTGGGGGGCAGAGTCCAAGTGACCCAGCCCCTTTCAGGGAGGACAAGCCTGGGCCAGAGCCCTGGTTCCAACAGCAGATGGCCAGGCCACACCTTTGCACGTTGCCAGTGGAGATGTAGAGACTGGAGCCCCTGGGCCCCTTCCCCTCACATAGCTGTGGAAGGGCCTCCTGCTCACTGAGGGGATCCCAGTGCCCATGGCCCTAAGGAACTCCGTTCTTCCATCAAGTAAATGACACAGGACAGAGAAGAGAAATGTGCCCCCAAAGAACCTATGATCAGACTAGGGTGTGGACAGTCTCTGGAGGACAATGGGGACACTGCAGGGCTTTGGAGTCCTGTGTGTCTCAGTCACTTCGGCTCCACTCTATCTGCTGGGAGCTGCCTGTGCCTGGCCTTGGGCTCTGATGAGAAATAAACTACCCTCAGACAAGGTGAGAGCAAGAGAAATGTTATTCCCATATTCTAGGGGGGACAGAGAAAGAAGCCCAGGAGTGCTTAGCACAATTCTGGCAAGGGTAGAGAAAACACCACGCTCTTTTGGAAGACATTTGAAAATTAGATAAAAGTGGAAAGACTTCCAAGGACACGGGTGAGTCTCTACCTGGCCCTAGGACAGGTCCTGCCTACCCTGGTGGCTCCCATGCCTGGTTTTCCACCAGTATAGCCTGGGGAGGAGAAGCTGTTGGAAATGCAGATCACCAGGCCCTGGGGGAGGTCCAGGCAGCAGCTCCAGCTCCGGGGCTGCAGAGGCAGCAGCTCTGACCCGGTCTGGGTGCTCTGCACTGACACGCACCCCACATTGGCAGCTCCTGGTAGACAGATGTCCCCAGAGAGAAGGGCTCCCAGAAATCAGAGCCTTAGGAGGAGAGCCAGGCTGTTACCCTAAGACCATGACAAGTACTTTAGGTTCCCCACAACCAAAGAAGAGATTTGCCACCCTCTGGGTCTTTTCTAAAAGACAAGCTCACAGGGAGGGGAAGGCAAGATTCTAGCAGGGCACAAATTTTTTTCTAAAAAAGGGCACACAGGAGGGCAGGGCAGGCCATCAATGCAGACCCTTAAGTCTCAGGTGAGTGCTGGGTCAAGGTTAGTGCTATGGGAATTGGAGGGGAGAGTGCATCTCAGCAGCCAGCTTTTGGGCAAATCCCCTGGGAACTCTCACAAAAGGTAGCCAGACCCCACCCCAGAGGTGGTAATTCCTGGGTCTGGACTGAAGCCCAGGGCATCCTGAAAGGACCAGGAATGTGCAGCCATGACCTGTCACAGGTGCATGAGATAAACTCAAGATAAAATAAGCTATCAAGTGTCTCTAGGCTGCTCCTTCCCAAACCTGCTCACAGGCAGCAGGGATGGCCCCGTATATTTTCCTACTGACATTCTTGAGTGATTGGAAGCTCTTTGATACAGTCAACATTTATAGGGACACATATTTTCCACTGGGACCCCATAAAATTAAGCTTGGATTGAAAAAAAAAAACCATGAACAACTGTTTTTCCTGAAATGGGCTGCTGGGAAAAGGTACTATCCCTCCAGAGAGCAGCATCAGGGGCCAGCTGAGTGGGTGCTGGCCCCTTGCTCAGGGAAGCTCTTGGCCCCCAACCTGCACATACTCCCTGGGCCTCACCCCTGAGGGATTCTGGACTCTAGCCCTAGGTGGAACTGAAAACTTGAGCTTTGGTCCTCTCAGGCCACTGTTGTGAATTACAGCCTGACAGGGCACAGTGACGCAGCCACTGTTCCTGAGGCCCTGTGGCAGTCCTAGCTGTGTGGGTGTAGGTAGGGGACAGAAGCATGACCAGACAGGCCCACAGGAGATGACAACCATCACTTGATTAAGGCTCGGAATGGTCAGCCAGTGGGGGACTGGGGTAGGCCCAGCTCAGACCCCCATGTTCACGTCTGGACACCTGAAGGCCATGGCTTTCTAGGACATGGGAGCCACGGGGTACTGTACACCGTTCACACCACCCTGCTGGAAGGGGTGTCAGCAGGGGCCCCTGCCCAGGGTGGGCTGGCTCCAGCAGGTCCTAGGCTCAGCAGAAGGAGGCCCAGGTCATCATGCTCACGCCTCCCAGCACAACCTATGGCTTTGTCATCCTATTGCCACTTGAACAGGAGCAGAGTGGCCCCACACCCACTCTGGGCCTGTGCTACACTGTGAGGTGACAAAGGAAAGCCCCCTGGAAAAGAGAAGGCAGCTGTGTGCCTGGGACCTGGCCACACCTCAGGGGAGCTGAGACCTGGCTCCTGCCACCCGCTGCTCTTGCCAGCCCTGGTCTTCTCCAGCGGGGGCTGGTCACTCAGAAGTGGACCCGCAGCATGTCCTGGCTGGCAACTGGCTGCTGGCAGGCTGTGCACGTCATGGGCAGGGCGCGCTGCTTCTCACCCAGGCAGGGGCGGCACAGGAGGTGGCCGCAGGGAAGCTGGTACACCGGCTCCTTTTTGCAGTAGGGGGAAAAGATTCTCCTGCAGGAGGCACATTCGGGGCCCGAGATGCTCCCAGGCTGCTCTGGTGAATCAAGGAGTGAAACAGGCTGGCATTAGGGAGCACGGGTCCTCGGTCCAGGCTCTGTCAGAGGGGTAGGGACAGCCCTCCCACAGGCCCTGCAGCTTCACCCTCCCTAGCCCGCGGTGGCTGATGTTGGGAGGGCAGCAGGAGGCCTGGGAATCTCGGAGGCCTCCACTCTGTCATCTCTGACCAACCTCAGTGCGCCCTGGCTGCTGAGGACAGCAGGTAGGCCTGGGCCCTCCTGCCTCGTCTCTGGGAGAGGTATGCCTTCCCTTACATGGGCTGCCAAGGCTGGGACGGCACACAGCTCTCACAATATAAATGGCAGGCATGTGAGATGTGTCCAAAGAAGGGAACAGAGTTATTGGTCTGGT